ATTCTCGGACAATTTTAGAGCTTGGAAAAATATATTTTAATAAATTATACTTATTTCTATAATTTACTCTACTTTAGAGTACTTTCTTTTAAAGAAGCTTTGCTCCAATAGCTCTACTTATTTTGCATACAAAATATTGTTTCTATATAGAAAGTTTGACTTTGATAATATTAATATTTCTGTCTTAAATAAATATTCTAAATTAGAAGAAATAGACGTCCATTTTCAGAACTTAGCTCTCACAAAGATCTTGATCTTGATCGTGGCAAACCCCAATACACATGCAATTTCAAACAATCAATATAGCCAGTGGCTCTACGATACGCCCTTCTGAGTATCACAAGTTTCAGTCTAAGCTTAAGTTATACATATTCGCTTACTGTCTCTAGAGTAAAGTCTCTCATATTGAAAAGTACTCTGAGTACAGGTCAAAACCTAGTCGCATACACCCCACACACAGAGCACGAGGCCTGACGCCACTTGGCTTAATTTATGGCCATTAGATGTGTTTATAGATATTAAATGGACAACGCTGGATTTATGGTGCTACTCACTGTTCGGGATTATCCGCATTGTGGCAAATGCGGCAGACGAGCGAGCCAATCGATGGCATCGAGTCGCTCGAGTTGGAGGCCTCGCAGTCGAGATTCAAATTATTGCATTGCGTTCCACTGTCCGCACAGCGTCGCAGCACGGGGGCCATGACCAGTTCGCTGCCCGCCGGCTTGGCTGCGGCGCACGTGGAGATGTTTGCCGCAGCCAGGGCTGCCTCCGTGTGGGCCAGCGACTGGTTGAGCTTCTCAGTGTTCGTCGAGAGCAGCTGGAACTGCACGTTCGGCTTGAGGCCCAGCGTAATGGAGCAGCCAGCCTGTTCATTCGCTGCTTCCTTGTCGCCCTTCTCGATCTTTTCGACCTTTTCGATTTGCTTGGACGCATTCGTCGGCTCCACGGAGTTGATGCATGTCTCGACAATGATCATCGAGGGTGGCGTATCATCGGCGCTGCTATTCGACACGAGCTCCTCAATATCCAGCTGCAGCGCTGTCTCTGGCTTCAGCGCATCCTGCTCCACCACGCCGCCACTTGCATCTGCAAAGCAAACAGCATATAGATAAAAGTGAATATCATTCACGCAGTTCAGCTAACCAAATCTTTCGCTCTCCATTGTTTCGGCGCTCTTATCAAATGTGGATGGAGAATATCTGACTATCATCAAAATTGAATGGGTACGCTGAGTTGCGCTTTAATTGTTACTTGTGGTATAAATTAACCAAAATTTAAACACATTCCGCTTGTAAAAAAAAACCTCTGATCGTTTGCTATTGTATGATTGTGTGCTGTTAAACTCAATTACGTTTTCTATATAATTCAGAGATTGCTTGATTCTATGTAAATATATATGATTTTCATAGCTCTTAGCTTAGGTTGACTTTACCTTAGAAGACTTTACTAGCTGCAGTATTGGAACAGTACTCTTCACACATAATTCTACATTTGTCTATCAAATGAGTGTTGCAAAACGCCATCTAAAAAGCTTACCTAGCACAAGTGCTGCACAACTCCAGCGATTCATTCAATTCGCCCAACCACTTTTCACTTTTTAGTTTCCCAATGTTTTTGATCAGCAATTAGTTAGTTTGCGAGTTGGAGCAAACCGGTGTCGGTGTCGCGGGGGCGGAGACAAAAAAGCCCGAAAAGCGAAAACAAACATTAATTGTAATTGACAGAGTGGAACCGCGCGCTGTCACCCACAGCTACTGCCCATAAACTCAAATTGAAAGTGTAACAGTTACGGCAAATAACTTTGTCGCCGCTTGGCTACCAGAAAAACTCTAAAAAAAAAAAAAAAAATACCCTAACCATCTCCCAACTCAATATATAGTACAGCCAACACCTTCGACTCCTGCTACTATCGAGCGCTGTGCTATTTCTGGCCTGGACTTTATGCCCGCGCTGTTAGTTCGTTAGGCTCCTCTGCAGCAGTCTGACTCTCTCTCTCTCTCTCTCTCGCTCTGCTTGTGTGAGTGTAGGAGTAACTCCTGTCTGCGTGTGTCATTACCATACCAAAACTGCTGCTTCAAAACATTTTTACTCCCTTTTTGCCTGCCGTGTGCGTCAGTTTGTATATTCATTTTTTTTTTTGCTGCCTCTGCTTGAGCGCCGGAAGCTGCTTGAATCCGCTTGTTCAAACTTGACTTCACAGGATTCAGCTCGTGGGCTTCGTTGATTTATTACGGCGGACGCAAAGCCAACGCAAAACATTCTCATAAGCGCGTTCCGTTCAACAACATGAGAGGAACCCGCAATTTGGTCATGTAGCAACTACAGCAACAAGAACAAGACTCAATATACAAACGAAAAACAAGTCAGAAAAACAAGTCCGGCATCTATCAAGAAGCTATCGAAGATTGAATACACTAACAGACAGCAAAGGGTTGCTATAGAAGATGTATGAAGAGAGAAGACGCGCCTTTAATGTGTTTCGGCTGATCTGAAAGAGATATAAATAATAAAAAAATCTCTACAAAAGTTGACAATATGGAAAATATATCGCTATCAACAACTATCGATAAACAAACATATTTTGCATCGTGCTGACTTTATTGGACTTCACTCTTCCATTCTCTTCATTGCTTCACCCAATCAATATACTCTTTCGACAGCGCATCCCACAACAAAAAAGGGCAACTTCTATGTCTATATCAAAGAGCAAAAGTTTTTAGTCCGCGAACCCTTTTTAATGCCATCGCCGTTTGGCGCTTGTTTCTGACGCGTTGTCCCAAAAATCGGTTAACAACTTTGTTTACAAAACAATTCGAGATGAAGTCAAAAAGTGGAAAGTGGAAAGCGGAAAGTGGAAAGTGAAAAGTTGAGATATTTTTTATGCGTGTGCATGCATTGAATAAACAAGAGTATATTGGTTTTATGCAATCTCTGTGCCGATGTCTGCATGTCTGTGTTGTGTGTAGCCTTGACTGAGATTTCGAACGTCCGCCTGGCCCCCTGGCAATGGTTCTATTTGAGACTGGTTCTCTACTGACCTACTCAACAGTTTGGCAAAGAATTTATAAGAAACGATTATTATGCAACTTGCTATAAAGAATTGCGGCAATTGCAATGCACTTAGGCGATTCGATGATGAGCATTTCATTTAGTTGCAGACTAAAGTTCATTAGTTCATATTTTTTTATTTTTTATCTCTGGCAATTTGTAAATGGGCTAAAAACAAAGAAGAAGAAGAAGAAGCTAGCACAATTTTAATGAAATTTTCACACTATTTCCGGTATGGACAAAGCTATACACCAACACACACACATACACACACACACACACTGGCTGAACAACTGCAACTGTGTAGCAGAGACTCAAGTTATCCCGAGCGCTGGCTAAAAGTCCAAAGTCTAAAGTCTGCGCCTTTGGTTAGAGACGCAGAAAATGCGTCAGCAAAGTTTTTAATGTATTTTCGCCAAGTTTGCGCACACACACACAAGCACACATACATAGACACACTTATAGCAGAAAATTCCTTCATTTGGCAATGACAAAAACAAAAAACAGACAGAGAGGGAGAGAGAGAGGGCGAACAGAAAAGAAAGCAAGAAAGAAAGAATGAAAGTAGAACAGCAGCAGAGGCGAGGCAAAAGTTTTGCTCTAGCACACAAAGTGTTAAATAATATAAAACTATGCTTGTGGTATTTATTTAAACCTAAAGACATTACGAAAATTATACCCCAAGCACAAAGTTTTCACCAGTAGCTGCCCAGTCCTTCCGCAGCTGCCCCCAGCTGCCACTTCCAAAAGACAAGTCGCCACGCAACACGGCATCTAGTTTCATTGGTAGCTTCAGCAACCTGTGGCAAGTCCCTCGGCGACGGCGAATTGAACTAACAAACAAACATACATATATCTCTCTCTCTATACACATACACACACACATAAATATATACCTAGTTGAGCTGGTCGCTAAAAAGCTTTGCTGCAAACTTGTTCAACTTTTCACTTTTGCTCGGAAATTAAATATTTACGGATTTGGTTACAACATTTTGTATTCCGTGTTAACAGAACGTGACTACAGGAGACGGCTCAGCTTAAAGAGGCTAATATCAACTAGAAATTAGTTGCATTTTAAAGTAACAGAAAAAGCAATTGAGCCGAATTTGATTTTTTTTAAAATATATAAGAAATACATAACAATATCGTAGTAATTGGTGGGTAGGTAATAATGAGATATAGATTTCAATATTGCCAATATTTATAAAATATATATGTACATTTTACTTTATAGCTGCTTAGCTTTTAAATTCTATATATGAATTTATAGATCTACATACACACACATATGTATTTGAATATTCTATTTTCTTTAGAATTTTACTCTTTAAATTCATGTTTAATTCATAAGAAACAGAATATTTTATTGTTTCAATAGTCTTTTTACAGAGCCTTCTACATTTTTAGCTAAGAAGTAAAAACTGAAATGCTCTACGGCATATGCAGCCAATAGGCTGAAGCCGATTTATTTTCGTGTTACTTATTAATTATAATTTTATTTGACTAAAAACTTACGTTATCAATATTATTTAATTTTTGTATTTAATTTTTTTTTATGATAGTTTTAATAAAGATTATTTTAAAAAATAACAAGGCTCAATTGTGAACTAAAAGGCCTTTTAAATATGACATGAAAATTATTGAAATATTTTATTTTTATTTGTTTATTTAATTTTTTTTTATGATAGTTTTAATAAAGATTATTTTAAAAAATAACAAGGCTCAATTGTGAACTAAAAGGCCTTTTAAATATGACATGAAAATTATTGAAATATTTTATTTTTATTTGTTTATTNNNNGCTAATATTAAAAAAAAAATTATTTTTGTATCTATTTTTATTATTTTCATTTTATAATTTAGTTATTCATTTTTAGCAATATTTCTTCAAATTCCTAATATTTGTATCTAATTATTTTCTTAGTTTAAACATTATTATATAAAGTTAAGTTACTTCTCGATATTATTTAGACAAGGGTCTTTTTAACTTTTGTGCTTTCAATATGTATTTAGCCCAATATGTATTTATATTCTTCATAAACATATCTTATTTTATTTTGATGCAGCACTACTTTCACTGATTTTCACGTTTTTATAGCTCCTAATTCCTTAGCCGCTCTATTTCCTTTTATAGATATTGCTCAACTTGGCCAATAAGCAGTCGATTTCCTGTATCTCTCCCAGCCTATGCCTTTCACTTTCTTTCTCTCTCTTTCTCTATCACTATCTCTTATCTACCTCTGTAGCTCTATTAAAAATCCTGACCTCGCACCGTAAACGGTTGTAAAAGGTTTAGTTTGAAGTCCATTGCGGGGCTTTGGCACAGCTTTTCGTTGCCCTTTGTCCCTTATCAGCTTCATATTGTCTATATGTATATACATTTATATATAGATGGCAAATTCTCAATGCATTGAACATCGGGAATGCAGAATAGAATGGCAGTTCGCAGTTGGTGCCGAGTCTATGATGGAAAGCATAAAAATTGCCGCATAAAACTTTTACAAGCAAATGAATTTTATTTTTACGTATTACGTGACCGTTGCCATTTGCCCAGCTTTTGTTGATGGCTTTGCCGCTTTGCTTTGCCCTGCCTTGCTTTGCTTTGCTTTGCTTTGTTTGTGTGTGCTTTTCGACTTTTGGCGTCAATCGAATGAATTTATTAGAAACGCAAAGGCCCAAGGATCACAAAACGGAAGCACAAAAACCAGGCCAAAAGGATTGTTTATTTGCGCTATTTTACGCACGCATTCCGATAGTTGTGCACGGGCATTTTCGCACTTACTTGCCGAAGACATCATATTTATTAAGTAATAACCGAAGAAGTTTTACAGTCATATATATAAGATATATTTATAGAGATATATTTAACATTTATGTTGACAGTCGCAGATATTCAAAACTTTAATTGGGCGCGCAGCTTGGAGAATAAATAAATATATATATATATTCTACTTGGCATAGCGAAACTTTTAGCCCGACGTAATTAAAATTGAGCATCTCGACAACAACAACAACGACAACGACAATGGCACAGCAAAACAAAACTAAGGTCATTAAATAAATTGGAAACAATGTGCCAAAAGGGCACAAAGGTCGAGCATAACAAAGACAGAAAAAAAAGACACACACACACACACACACACACAGACAAACCGAGAAGAAATCTCAGCAGCGAAACACAAAACCAGTTCTAATGGTTACCCCTAAGGTGGGGATGGGGGCGGAAGGGCAGGCGCCGCTGCGGCAAAGGGTCGAGCAAGGCAATCAAATGAAAATGTAATTCGAGCTCTAATAAAAATTGGCCAAATAGAGGCCAGCACAACAATGGTGCCATGCCCGGCCATGCCCAGCTATGCCCGGCCATGCCTTCTTCTATATCTGTCCGTTAAAAGGCATTTTGAAACAATTGCGAGACACATTCGGACTGCGAAATGTCGCCAGCTTAAAGACTTTGCAATTGTCTGAGTAATTTATGTAGCTTCGGCTATAAAATTGTAGCTTCTTGGAGCATCGATAAGAGAGCGACTACTATTCATTCTGCAAAACACCATTTCCCTCTTTTCTGTCAACGTTGCGTATACGCAACCCTTTCATACACACACACACACCCACACCCACACCCATATATACATATATATACCATATATACATGTACATGAATATTGCGTATACGTAATGGCGGACTAGTTTGACCAAATGGCTGACTTGCTGTAATACAACGAGGCGGAGGTATATTAATTAGATAGCTTTGTGTGTAGCACAGTTGGGAGCAGAGCTGTTGGGGTAGTATATGGAGAGAATATGTGAATATTGTTGATCGGGGCTTAAGAGTCAAGTCTGACCATTCCTATCTATAAAGTTGCATAGCTCGATGTTTATCCATTTTTATGCACGTCTGGACTAAGGAATGTTTCACTTAAGGACTTAACTCTTAAAGTTCTTTTGATGGGTTTATCATCCAATTGCTCTATTCAAACTCACATTAATATAGGGAAATATTTATTTTATTTTTTGAATAGAGGGATTACATGATAAACTACCTCGACGTTGCATTCCATCGGACTATAATCAAATATATGTATATAATAAAATCCATAAACTCATATAATATCATTCACTAATGCCCTTCTCACTGACATTTAAGCCCTCTAAGTAATACATATGCGTAGTTTCTTATTGTCTTATTATTGAAAGCATAAGCCCATCAGCTTAAGCTTTTTCAATAGCCAAACAAAGCCCTGCTATGCTCCGATTCCTTTCCATAACATATAAGCCATAAAAGCACAACAAATTTGCATCGAATATGTTTTCAAGGGGCATTAAATCTTCTTTCGTTTAAAGTCAACTTCACTTAGGTGGCTCATTGCTGGTGTTTGCCGTTGATTAAATGCGGCAGAAACAAAACAGAAATTCGAAAGATTAACAAACAGCAGCAACAGCAACAGCAGCGGCAGCCCAACCCGAAAAGAAGTGCCAAAAGCAGCTTCGCCCTCAACCCGAAAAAAATACAAAAAAATACAAAAAATACGAAAGAAAGTAGCAAAAAAGTAAACTTTGCGCTTTGTTGCTGTGTGGAGAGTGTGGAAAGTGTGGCAAGTGTGGCAAGTGTGGCAACTGTGGCAGTGTGGCACTGGATACAAGAGTGCGCACACAAAGCGCTGTTAAACGCACTTGGGCGAAACTTTTAAGTGCGGAATTTGTAATTTTTAAAACTTGGCAGACGCCAAGTGAACAACAAGTCTTTATCTCCTGCCTTCTAGCTTCTGCCTGCTGCTTCTTCTCAAATTCGCTGTTTCTCACTTTTCCGCCTTTGATTCTGTTACAGGTCTCATGGATACGCAAACGTGATCTGCATATACTCACGGCAGGCAGCACAACCTACACCTCCGATCAGCGCTTTCAGGTGAGTCGCGACGTATTTTCCAGCCCTTTGAGCCAAACTCTACATAATTGGCTCATCTAATCTCGTATGTAGGTTCTGCGGCCCGATAACTCAGCCAATTGGACGCTGCAAATCAAATATCCCCAGCCACGCGACTCGGGCGTCTACGAGTGCCAAATCAACACCGAGCCCAAAATGTCGCTATCCTATACCTTCAATGTTGTGGGTGAGTACGATGAGAAGGTTTCTTTAAACTGAGTAAATTTTATAGCTAAGCATGGGGACAGCTAGTTATGCGACAGCAGAGAGTTGAAGGGAACTCAGAAGGGAACTGAACGGAAGTGAGAGAGGGGTCCAAATATATATATGTATATGTATATGTATATAGTTGAAAGAATTATCCAAAAGAAACAACAGAGAGTCTTTCAGCTGCTTGCATTTTTCATTAGCTGCAGTTTGTTTTAAAGTCTGTTGTAGGAAAATTCAATTTAATAACTAACTAGTACATATATTATTATTAATATAGTCTCATACACACACGCGCTTATATTCCGCCCTCTGAAACAACAAGCGAATAGTTAATTAATTTACCGGATTTATAACGCCCATTAGAAATTTAGACTTAGTCTCTGCTCGAATACCTTTACTAAGCCCACAAATTTGTCCACTCGCCGCACAGATCGGTCCCAAAATTGTCCCTCCTTCCGGCTAATATTATGTGAACGAGCGAGCTACACAAATGAGCGAAATTTACTGTGACCCAAGGCCCGAGAGCAAAAATATCGACATGCTGTAAATGCGCTGTAGCTGGCTGCTAATAGCCAATGCATAGAGCATACATACATACATATACTGCTAATAGCCAATGCATAGAGCATGGATATATACATATGTATGTATATGTAGAGCTGAACCCTTTTGCCTTGGCAATTATCATAACTCTCTGGGTCGAAAGGTCAACCACATTCAAATAGCCAAATTCACTTCAGCTAACAGCATTTGCTGTGCCTAGCTCACATTTTACATTTCACATTTCACATGTTACATTTTACATTTTACATTTTGGAAGGCTGTTGCAAAAATTGGTCACAAAACCACTGAAGTGCTTACTTTTATGAGACACTGTATGGGTGTGATATTAGTGTATGTGTGTGTCCGAGTGTGTGTGTGTGTGTGTGCGTGTGTATGACAAGACTTTCTGAGTTTCTGCGTCGGCTGCCTAAGTCTCATGTTTGCCAGCTGCATGCAGCTTTCATGAGCTTAAGGAAGTCATACAATATGCATGCTATTTACACATGTGTGTGGCAGCCTATATATATATGTGTGTGTGTGAGAGAGAGGATGGCTGCCTATGCCTGTGTGTGTGTGTGAAATTATGTGCTGTAGCTCACTGTGCCAGGCAGTCAGCCGAAGTGCCTTGTATGATTATAAAATAGCAAATTCGATTATGCGCAAATTGCCTTGCTGGGTGCCTCTAGCACGGCGTATACCCTGTAATTCTTTAACAGAGCTACACAGAATATAGAATATCAAGCGTAGAAGAAAGTTAAGTCAGCAGTTTAGCTTTAGTCTTATGTTTCTGTCTGGTTTCTGTCCAGATTAATTTGATAATTCCATTTTGGATCCTTTATATATGCTTATTTCCCATTTCTTATATACAGACTTAGACACATTAGACTTGAGCTTGCCTTACCGACCAACTCTTGGTCCATCATGCTCAATTGTGGGCCCAAAAGATTGTAGCTGTAAACGAAGTTAAAATTTAGATGCCGGCTGTGCACGCATGAGTTTGCTTTTGCTTTGCCTTGGCATCCGAACGCCTCTAATTAGCTTAACTTAACGCCTGAAAAGGCGTTAGCTATACACCCGCACACACATGCACACTAGCACTCTCACACACACTCACACCATGATCTGTGTTACCTTCAGCTATAGTCAGCAATTTTTTGAAACTAATTGAAAAATGTTCGCTCGTATCGCCAGGTGGGAAACGGAAGAACTGCTTACTAATACACATTAAAAGTTTTTATCTATGCTCTATAACTTAGAGGTGGGAGCCATTAAGGGCGTGCAGCGTGCCGAATTTGTTGGGCAACTGCTTATAAATTTTTGCGTTCAGTGCATTTTTATCGCATATCGCATTAGCAATGCATTTTTGTTAAAAGTTTCTGGTGCGGAAGAATGCGTTCAATGAGATTATTTGATTTCTGAACTATGTGTTGCCATATATACATGTATGTATGTATGTGTGCGTATACATGTGCATGCATGCATGCTAGCATGTGTGCGTGTTGTTGTTTTTGGCAAACTCATCTGAGCCTGGCCGCATGGCCAAACGACTTTGTTTCAACATAAATGCTTTGGTCAGCTTGAATGTTATGAATGTTTTAGTGCACTCACACACTCTCGCCAAAACACACACACACAGTCAAGAAAGGCAAGCTAAAACGTATGTATATGTGGGTGAAGAGGACAACAACTTGACCGACTGACATAGCAACCGTCAAGTCAGACAAACACATCTCAACACAATGGTCATAAATATTACATTTGCGGAAATGCAAATGACTGCCAAACGTCCTGCATAAGCCGCGCCCCACTAGTGCACGCCCACTATTTCCCTCAACCTCCACAAACAAAAAAGGAATAAACACAGATATATAAAACCAAAAGGAAAAAACAAACTCCACGCAAGCCTTAGTAGAACTCATGTTCATACTCATTTCAATGGCCAAAAAGAAAACGTGCATATAAAATATTCGACATGCCACTCACGTGGAAAGCTGGAAACCAAAATGCTGCCACAGTGGTGCAAGAGCGATTTGTCTGTGGATCAAATGAGCTGATATACCCAAGGCATATCCAAGTGAGGCAGAAAGCAGGGAAACTTCATTGAAGAGAGCATAAAAAACATTTTGGAGAAATAATATTTAAAAAAAAATAATAATAAAAA